CATTGACTCTTCAGCAATCCCTCACACTAAGCATGCTTGAAGCGACAGAGGAGACGAAAAACTCCCTTTAAACAGAAAGAATGAAGCTACTATGAGAAAAAGCAGAGAGAGCAGAACGTTAGAGATTGAATTCTTCTCCCAAGGATTGGGCCATTACTTAAATTGTTTATAAGCACTTTTATTTAATCAACACTAGATGGAGGTAAGATCATTTCTTAGAGTCTTGAGCAGTCAAACTGTGACAGAAATAAAACACTTATCAGAGTTAAAATTATTATATTTTTCTCATTCTCAGTGAGCTCCATTGCAGCCACAGCTGCCTTGGGGCACGCTGACAGAAAAAATGCTGCAGTATAGAGATACCTAAGGGCCTATCAGCATTCTATGCCACATCTCCAAAGCCCACAGCACCTTTGTCTAGAGAGACACATTATTCAACCTCTTATATATATATATATATATATATATATATATATATATATACATACTGGCTTCATTCAGGTATCGTAATAAAGGAGCTGAGGTTTGGTTTTTGCTGACAATACGCTAAAGTTCACTAAAGTTCTGAGGTGATAATTGAACAGAGTCTTGGTTTTATTAGAACAGTATCTGGTTATGTTGATTTTCATCGTCTTCTTTAGGCGTCAAGTGACTAATGACATCTTTCTGAGCTGTTGATCTTTGTTCTCCGCAGCGTCCCTGACTTCAGCACCACAGCATTTTATGCAGACCAGAATCAGACCAATGATACGAGCTGTCCTGAGCCTGAGGCCTGGGGGTGGATCGTGCTCCACGTGCCGGCGTACATTCTGACCATCAGCGTGCTGGGAATCATCTTCAACCTCTTTGTTCTCCTGGTGTTCTGCCTCCACAAGAAGCCCTGCACCGTGGCTGAGATCTACCTGAGCAACCTGGTTGCTGCAGATCTGGTTCTGGTGTCCTGTCTGCCTTTCTGGGCAGTCAACATTTCCAACAACTACAACTGGCCTTTTGGACGGTTTATGTGTAAAACTGTCAATGTGGGCATCAAAATAAACATCTACTGCAGCATCTACTTCCTGGTTCTGGTGGGCATGGATCGGTACGTAGCACTGGTTCATGCTATGTCACACGGAAGAATGCGACGTCCTAAATACGCCAAACTAGGCTGCCTGCTGACGTGGGGGTTTGGCCTGGTGATCAGCATCCCAGAATTGCTGTTTAGGGAGGTCAGATATTTCACTGAGTACGACATCCATGCCTGCTACCTGGAGTACCCCAAATTCACTCTGCAGATAGTCTACGAAGTGATGCAATCCATCCTCATCTTCATCGTTCCTACTGCAGTCCTTTTGTTCTGCACCGTGAGGATTATCCGCGCTCTGAGCCAACAGTCGATAGAAAGGTTCAACGCTGAGAGGACGGAGAAGAAGGCAACCATCCTGGTGCTGGTGGTGCTCCTGGCCTTCCTGGTATGCTGGGTGCCCTTCCACATCGTCACCATATTCAGCATCCTGGTGGACACAGAAGTTCTTGAGGAATGTAGCATCACCTCCGCCGTGGACATCTGTCACCAGATCTTCACCTACTTGGGCTTCTTCAACAGCGTCCTCAACCCTGTGCTGTACGTCATTGTTGGGAAGAACTTCAGAAAAAAAGTCCGGGAACTCATGAAACAGTGGGGCGTCAAGAGAACGATGACGTCCGAGTCCACGCGCTCCAACTTATCCTCCACTCTCAAGACGTTGGTCTGAAACATCTGCCAAGCAGCAGAGTTATGAAGGACAGCTGTCGAGATGGAAACATCTCACTGGTTCATCTTCTCTGGTTTGAAGGATGTTTTCAGATTACAGCCTGGTTTATGCTCAGAAACCAGGTTGTCTGCGTGTGTGTCGCAGTTAACGCAGATATGCCCCGCCCCCTGCAGACACTCTGCTGTGCCTCTCCAGTATTGTATGTGACTGCAGACAGGAGGCCTCTGGTTGGTCAACTCTACATCTGCTCTATACTATGCGTATTTCCTGTTTGGTTCCTAATGGCAGAGACTGTAGTGCCATCCTCAGCGCCTGGCACGCCTGGACTCTATCCCAGACACTGTGCAGGACGCTAGTTTGTAGCTCTGTGCAACGGTCTGTTGGTTTGCACCTGAAAACAAAACACGCAGCGCCATGGCCAGTCTTTGGGGAACACTCCAGGGTGAACTGTGTGTCGTCTGACGTTGGATGAGGGGTTGTAGATGGTGAACAAGCTCGCCAAAATGACACAGGGATGCCCACAATCCTAGCTAGTTCCTGATTGGCCCTCTGGCGTTGTGGCGTGGAATAACACAGCGCAGATCGGCCTTCAATATTTAGCATAAATCAAAAATATTTGCGTCATACCTGCAACAAGCTAACTGCGACACACTGCTGCGGGAGGACAACCAGCCCTTAATGCCTTTAGCTTCACTGGAAAAAAATATCTCATTAACCTACTCAAATTAAGGGTAAATACACTTCATTTAAGACATTTTTACTTATTTCTAGATCTGTTATAAACTAGAAGCTTTGCTGTGCTGCAGTTATTTACCGGCAAAAAAAAACATGTCAATAGTGTGATATTTGTGTCATGTGAGTAGTTTCTGTGAAATAATGTCTGTAAATATCATTTCAACTTAAATTAATAGTTACTAAGAAAAAATAAAAGACATAAAATGTTTTCCAGACTGACGACGAAGTAAATAAAAAACCTCATAATCTAAAGCAGATGGAAATCGGCTCTGTCTTTGAAAGACTGAGGTCGCTCCACAAAGCAATTCTCCAGAGTCACAACAACTGCTCGCTCAGACGTCCTGGTGTCTCTGACTCACTCTGTCTGCAGTTACAACAGCTTTTCCAGCAGTTTGTGGTCAGTGCAAACGTCTTCCTCATTTACTTTTCTGTTGCTGCAGCCGCCTACCAGTGCTGGGTGAGCTTAATGTGGGCTGTGGGCGAGGGTACACCCAGTCAGGGTGCCAAACAGGAAGGCGAGCAGGGATGAAAATAGAGGAGAAAATCACAACAGTGATGCAGAAAAAATATGTGCAATCTGAAATGTTTTCATGTTTTTCAGCCAGTTCTTTCAGTAAACGCTACAGTTTAAGGGCCACATTTGAAGCTTTCTATTCTGAATCTAAACATTCTCTTATAATTCAACCTGGAGTCCGTCCTGCTCGGGACAGAGCTGGTTCTTTCCTGATCTCCTCGTCACCTGGAAACTCCAGCCGCCGTAGAGAGGAGACAGGAAGCTGTTGCTTACAGAAGTGAAGCAAGACCATCCTGGATCCTCATCCTTCTACATTTCACAAGCGGAGAATCTGACTGAGAAACATCTGGAGGCTCAACACGAGCAAACTGAAAAAACATGTTATTCTGCTTTTCTAAACACTCTGTGGTTCTGTATCTGTGAAGGCAGAGTTAAACTAAACAGCTAGAACCTCCAAGGTAAATAAAACCAAATATCAAACAAAATACCAGATTTAGCTCCACCTCACAGGAATGGGAAGAAAATAAAACCCAAAAAACCCTCAGATCCTTGGAAAGTTACACCTGCAGGACTGATCATCCATCCATCCATCCATCCATCCATCCATCCATCCATCCATCCATCCATCCATCCATCCATCCATCCATCCATCCATCCATCCATC